AATCACGAGGCAAGAGATCATTTTACATTAGCTGCTGAAGCTTTAAGTAACGTTTCCTGAGGAGCAATGAAAAAGGGGAATTTTTCAAGCTAAATATTCAATTTAAACCACCACGACAACTTTTGAAGGAAGAATATCTGAAAGTCATAAATACTAAAGTAATTTCTATAAATGTTGCCTCAAATTGACTGGTACAGAGAAATCTAAGGCCCACTGCATAGTATCTATTGATCAAAATCATTGCTAATCTGGTACATCTTGTTTCAAGAGCAAGAGAAGCACTTTTTCCTAACAAATGCCCTGTGGACGCACTTGCTGTGCCAGCGGCGGGAGCCAGCACGGGCGGAGGCCTGTGCCGCAGACTCCGCCTGCGAGTGCCTTTCTCCCTGTACTCTCACGCCCCAGTCTGCTCTGTCCTGTCTCCTCACATGAACAGTTCTGCCTTTCCAGCCGGGTAACATGATGGTAAGCTGGTCTGTGTTCAGAGACCCTGAAGAGGAGACTGGTCAGAGAGGCTGCCACCTTTGTGACCAGGTGGGCCACCGGCGTGTGCCCAGCTGCACAGGCCTCGGAAGAGGAAAGGGCCACGGGGGCGACTTGAAGATCGCAGTCCCTCCCAGCCCTTCCTCTCTGGCCTCTTCTTCGAGGCCACGTGTTGGCAGGTCCCTCCCATGCTCTTCCACCTGATGTCCCTGCCTCACAGCCAGCTGACCATGGACTGAACCTTCAAAACCATGAGCCAAATGCCCCTACATTGTGGGTTTCATGTATTTAGTCCCAGGAATGGGAAACAGCCTAACACATATCGCTCTATAACACATATATATCACTCCTGGCTCAGCTTCCCACTGTTGCCATTTCCAAGGCACCCTGTTCTTGCTGTTCAGGGGCTGTTGTGTACACCAATGGGGTCTACTCCCCTACAACATTCCAGTAATGCAACTATCACCCCAGAAACCAGCCCTTCCAGGTTGCTGCCACATGTCCACCAGGAACAAAACCACGGCATACCTAAGGCCTGTGCTGCAAGGAACCGCCCTGTAGCCAAGACTTGGCTCAGAGGGGAGGCGGGCGAGGACTGCTGCGTGGGGAGTGTGGGGGAAGATGCGTTTCGGTGTGGGCAGTGCCCTGCTGACACGGGGAGCGCATCGCTCTCGG